AGCTACTCAGGAGGCTGAGGCAGGAGAATTGCCTGAACCCAGGAGGCGGAGGTTGTGGTGAGCCGAGATCGCGCCATTGCACTCCAGCCTGGGTAACAAGAGCGAAACTCCGTCTCAAAAAAAAAAAAAATTAAAATAAATAAATAAATAAATAAATAAAAATAAAAATAAAAAATAAATTAAAAAATTTAAAATGTTGGGCCAGGCATGGTGGCTCACACCTGTAATCCAAGCACTTTGGAGGCCAAGGCGGGCAGATCACCTGAGCTTGGGAGTTCTAGACCAGCCTGACCAACATGGTGAAACCCCGTCTTTAAAAAATAAATAAATAAATAAATAATAAAATTTAAAATGTTAAGGACGAAAATTTTGTCACTACATTTTATGTTGTCACTACATTTCACCCATGTCATTGAAATAAACTTATCATTTGAATATATTTTACTGTCTAAATATTTGCCTAGATTTTAAAAATAAATAAGTGCAGGTGTATAAATATTTCACAAAGTAGTTATCTTCTACAACCACTTGCATCACAGCAGGGAAGAGAAAATGCTAGATATCTTGCCTGCGGCTAGCCTTATAACAATGATGGTACTGTCCTCAGAGAAGAAACACATAAAACTCTCAAACCTCATTCCAATAACTGGACTTAAAGGGTTAAACATACCATATGGGGAAAGATAGTTTAACTTGATTAAAAGATCACTGTGGCTTTTTATGATGGAAATGGTGAACCCATCTCCGAATTTTCATATATTAATTTCCAGGCAGCATATTAGCATTAGCTTGGGATCATCAAACTATGGTTTTCAGTCTCAGTACCAATCTGAGAAAAACAACTGAAATGGATAGAATTTTCTCTGGAGTTTCTTTGTCTGCATTTTCAGGACTGTGTAAGGGACAGACCACAAGCATTAGAACCAAAAATTGGACTTGACTTCCATCTCAGACCTCAGGCAGGTCCCATAACCTCTCCAAATCTGTTTCCTCATCTATAAAATAGAAAATAGCCGGGCGCAGTGGCTCACGCCTGTAATCCCAGCACTTTGGGAGGCCGAGGCGGGTGGATCACGAGGTCAAGAGATCGAGACCATCCTGGTCAACATGGTGAAACCCCGTCTCTACTAAAAATACAAAAAAATCCGCTGGGCATGGTGGCGCGTGCCTGTAATCCCAGCTACTCAGGAGGCTGAGGCAGGAGAATTGCCTGAACCCAGGAGGCGGAGGTTGCGGTGAGCCGAGATCACGCCATTGCACTCCAGCCTGGGTAATGAGAGCGAAACTCCATCTCAAAAAAAAAAAAAAAAAAAAAAAAAAAAAAAAAAAAAAAAAAAAAAAAGAAAATAATACCTACTTTGCAGGGATGCTGTGAGGGTTATGAGTGATATATGTAAAACGCCTCTCCCATCACAGACAATTAATGAGAACTTAGTGTGTTTACAATTGCATGTTCCTCTTTTCCCTTCCCTACATCTCCCATACAGCACTCAGCACACAGTAAGAGTGCAGAAACGTTTGCTGAATTAAATGAAACTATTTAGTTTCATTTAATTTTGTTTTACTATTAGATGGTAGATAGCTGGAGTTAGTGGGAAAAAGCGTCAAGACTATACCAGGCTTGGCCGGGCACGGTGGCTCATGTCTGTAATCTTCAAGAGAAGAAACACATGAAACTCTCAAACATCCTTCCAGTAACTGGACTTAAAGCGTTAAACATACCATATGGGGAAAGCTGGTTTAACTTGATTAAGAGATCACTGTGGCTCTTTATGATGGAAATGAACTGGCCTGACCCATCTCAGAATTTTCATGTATTAATTTCCAGGCAGCATATTTCCACACAGTGACTCACTTGAACCCAGGAGATGGAGACTGCAGTGAGCCGTGATCATGCCACTGCACTCCAGCCTGGGGAACAGAGCTAGACACTGTCTCAAAAAAAAAAGAAAAAAAAAAAAAAAGCCCAAGAGATTTGGGGGAAAGGGGAACATTTGAAAACAAAAGTTAGAGACCTCATCTCTCCAAAAAAAAAAAAAAAAAAAAAAAAGGTATTCCAAAATCCGCCCTTGGCAGATCACTTGTTCACTTGAGAGCTTCATCTCCCACTTCCTCTTCCTCACGTCTAATCAATTACCAAGTTCTATCTATTCAAGTTCCCAGGATTACTAGAATCTACTCACTTCCCTTAGATTCTGCTACTATCGCGTTAGTTCAAGACTTCATCTTCTCTCTCACCTGGCCTACAACGAAGGCTGGTCCCCTCATAGTCTGTTCTCGCCCCTCTACAGTCCTTTCTCTTCACCCATGGGCAATTACTGAATTCTTTGCAAGGCTAGTCCAGACTCTCAGTGTATAAATCATCCCCTGACATAACTAATTCCATCTTAGAAAAACCCTCCATTTTCTATTTCATAGGCAATTTGCTAACAAAGATCTTTTCCTGAATGAACACATTTTTAAAACGAACACAAGCACACTCATCCACTATCAGTTCTCACCAGAGGTCCCTGTGACTGTAAAAGAGCCAATTCCTTCAGCGGCTGGAAATTGCCATCTTCACTAACACCGTCTTGCCGTCACTTGTGATAAGAACACAGAATTTGCCACTGAAAGCTCTGCCACATCAAAGGCTCTTCCCTTCCAGAACGATGGACCACCAGCCCCAGACCAGGAGTCCTTTGTCTTCTTCACTCCCTTCGAACTGGTTCATTAACCCTTTCTCCTCTTTTTCCTCTTGATGTTAAATACTATGTTTGTTGCGGAATGTTCAATCTACGACATTTACATATTGATTAAGTATGCTAGTATGTATGGTTTGCGATAGTTACTGACTTATGGAGTGGCTTGAACTATGTGCTCTGACTACAGAGTGAATGGGAAGGACTAAGGAGAATTGCCTCTTTGGGAACTCCACCTAGCTCTGGGATTTTGTGATTGAAATAACATTAAAAAAAATGACTGACATTGTGGAGAGACACAAACGTGTGTGGACCTGGTTGTCTTTAATCTCGCACTGGTATGACACTCATGACACACAGGAGAGGCTGAGAGGCCCAGAACACTCCCCTTGTTCAAGGCTCTGCATGAAGAGGAGAAGGAAGAATTTATACGATATTTTATTTTATTGAGATGGAGTCTTGCTCTGTTGTCCAGGCTGGAGTACAATGGTGAGATCTTGGCTCACTGCAACCTCTGCCTCCTGGGTTCAAGTCTCCTGCCTCAGGCTCCCAAGTAGCTGGGACTACAGGCATGTGCCATCATGCCCAGCTAATTTGTGTATTTTTAGTAAAGTTGGGGTTTCACCATGTTGGCCAGGCTGGTCTTTAACTTATGACCTCAAGTGATCCACCAGCCTTGGCCTCCCAAAGTGCTGGGATTACAGGCCTGAGCCACTGTGCCCAGCCTAATTGTTCAATATTTTAAATGTTTAAATGACTGGCAAGTTGTAGGTGCTCAACAAATATTTGTTGAATGACTACAACAAATTAGCACTGTTGACACAAAAAAGGCAATGCAATATGTATGCTGTTTAATATTTGTAGATGTTTATTTAAAGATCTGAATTTGGCCGGGCGCGGTGGCTCAAGCCTGTAATCCCAGCACTTTGGGAGGCCGAGGTGGGTGGATCACGAGGTCAAGAGATTGAGACCATCCTGGTCAACATGGTGAAACCCCGTCTCTACTAAAAAAAAATACAAAAAATCAGCTGGGCATGGCGGTGCGTGCCTGTAATCCCAGCTACTCAGGAGGCTGAGGCAGGAGAATTGCCTGAACCGAGGAGGCGGAGGTTGCGGTGAGCCGAGATCGCGCCATTGCACTCCAGCCTGGGTAACAAGAGCGAAACTCCGTCTCAAAAAAAAAAAAAAAAAGATCTGAATTCATACTACACTGCAGACAGTTGCTTAGAAGCATACAAGTTTCAAGTTCTGTCACCCTGTGTATACTTTTTTTTTTTTTTTTGAGACGGAGTCTTGCTCTTGCCATCCAGGCTGGAGTGCAGTGGGCGTGATCGCAGCTCACTGCAACCTGCACCTCCCGGGTTCCAGCGATTCTCGTGCCTCAGTCTCTCGAGTAACTGAGATTACAGGCACGTGTCACTATGCCCAGGTAATTTTTATATTTGCAGTAGAAATGGGGTTTCATCATGTTGGCCAGGCTGGTCTCGGACTCCCAACCTCAGGTGATCTGCTCGCCTCAGCCTCCCAAAGTGGTGGGATTACAGGCAAGAGCCACCATGTCCGGCCACCCTGTGTATACCTGGAGACAACTACCAAGTCTAAGTTTGCAGAGGTAAGGGAGGACGCCGACCTCTGCAAGGTCCTTGAGCCAGTGGCTCCCTGCTGCTGGTGAGATAGGGACCTCCTAAGACAGGGGCTGGGTCCTCAAGACATGGCAGGAGTAAGGGGGTCGCACTAAGCCCCCAGCGGCTCCTGCACTGCGACCCCTGGGGCGTTCCTCTGCCACTCTCAACCCAGCCCCTCCCAGCCGGCTGGGGGCGGCAGTCTCCATGATATTTCTCTGTCCTGCCGGCAGGCGGCGCCCTCCAGCCCCTGTTTCGTCCGGCCGGACGGGGCGCGCGCGCTCAAAGGTTGCCGGACTCCGACGCCCGCATTTCCTGGTCGGGAGCCCGCTGAGCCACAGCGGGGTCGCCGCGGGGTCCCAAGGCAGTGCTTCCCGGCCCCTCCGGGGAGCGCGAGGGCGGAGCGGGGCGGGACCAGGTGGGCGTGCTGGGACCCCGCCCCTCCCTCGGGCCGTCACCTGGGCACCCGCGCTGCAGGTGCCTGGGCTTCGACCTTGCGGAGCCGGCGGCCATCGATCCTCAGGTGAGTGCGGGCGCGGGTGGAGGGCGCCCGGCGTGCTCGCCACCCGCGTCCCCGCCGCGGTTCAGGCAACGGTCCCCGCGCCGCTCGCGACCTGCCTGGCGGGGCGCGTCTGGGAGGGAAAGGAGTTTCCCTTGCAGGAACTCGGGGGCGGGGATTCTCTGCTGCCAAAACGATCCAGGAGTGGGGCGCGGACGCCCGAGCCGGCCCGCTTCGGGATGGGGGTTACCGCGGAGCCTTAGTAGCTGGGGTCTGTCGTGGGTTTGAGGGCAGGGGTCCGGGGAATGGGCGTGTCCCGCACCCAGACACTCGCTACCCTCTCTCCAGGGGAGACGGTTTTTAAACATGACAAACCCAGCGAGGTTATGGAAATGAGTGTATGCAACTTCGCTCCTTCCTGGCGCCCATAGGTGGACAGTCACACACACACGCGCGCACACTCGCGCGCGTGCACTCTTTGGGGCCGACTTTGCATCCCCGCGCCTGGCCTCCGGCGTTGGGGAGGGCGCCCCCGGGCGCGCCGGGCACTGGGATTAAGCCCCAGGGCTTTGCTGGGCTGTTTGTTTTCCGAGGTCGTTGCGTCCCGGTGGGTTCCTGGATGACCATCCTGGCTGGCTCAATATTTCCTCTAGATTACCTGCGACCACACCCAGGAACCCAGCGGCTGACGCTCCTTTTCCCACCCGCACAGGTGGCCTCGAGGCGGTGGCAGGGCCGCCCCCTGCAGTCCGGAGGCAAGCGCACTAACCCGGCCTCCGGAGGAAGGTTCAGCTGGGAGAAACCGCTCTCGCTTCGTGCTACACTTGGGCAAAATGATTCTGGTAAGGGGAAGTGTTGCTTAAATCCCAGAGATAACCCCCACCGCGAAGCATTGCCAAAGACACCGGAACGAGTGTTTAACTCTCAGGATTGTTATTGCTTCGAGTGAAATGGTTTCGTGTGTATGAATATAAACATATATGTATATATTAGACAAGCTCTTAGACCGGCACTTATTTGTGGTATCTCCAGAATAGAGTTATTATAGTTATTTGGGAATTGTTAGTGGGGATCAGCCTGGCTGCTATTGGAATTACAGGGAGGAGGACCTGTGTGCAGTTTCACAACGAATGGTAATGCAAGGTGTGGACCTTGGTTGGATACTGATTTGATGAAAGAATGTATTTTAAAACAGAGACGATGGCCGAGTGTGGTGGCTCACGCCTGTAATCCTAGCACTTTGGGAGGTCGAGGCGGGTGTTCGGGAGGCGGAGGGCAGGAGTTCCAGACCAGCCTGACCAACATGGTGAAACCCATGTGTACTAAAAATACAGAAATTAGCCGGGTGTGGTGGCGGAGGCCTGTAATCCCAGCTACTTGGGGAGGCTGAGGTAAGAGAATCGCTTGAACCCTGGAGGCGGAGGTTGCAATGAGCCGAGATCCGGCCACTGCACTCCAACCTGGGAGAAAGAGTGAGACTCTATCTCAAAATAAATAAGTAAAGGAAATTACTGATTATTGGATGGTATCAAGGATATTATAATAGTTCTGTTTAGTTACTTTTGGTAATGGTTCATGATTAAGCTTTTAACAACCCCTATAGAGACACAGACTGAAGTTGAAATACAGCTTTGGGCTTTGCTTCAGAATTATTCAGTTTTAGATGCTAACAGAGAAGTGAGGGGAACAAGATGAGGGGAGATTGTCCATGGATTGTTAATAGTTGAAGCAGGAGAGAACATGTGGCCACAGGGAGGGGAACATCACACCATGGGGCCTGTCAGAAAGAGGGGGCAAAGGGGAAGGAGAGCATTAGGACAAATACCTAATGCATGCGGGGCTTAAAACCTAGATAACGGGTTGATGGGTGCAGCAAACCACCATGGGACATGCACGCCTATGTAACAAACCTGCATGTTGTGCGCTCGTATCCCAGAACTTAAAGTAAAATAAAAATAGTTGAAGCTGGATGATGGGTACGGAAGTCCTTACACTATTGTTTCAGTATTTGTGTGTGTTTGGCATTTTCCTTTAAATGGAACACCACCACCTGTGGAGGTTTTTTGATAAGGTAGGTTTGGCACTGCAGCTGAGTCTAGATGCAAGATCTTCCACAGACGCTTGTTCTTTGTAAATTGGGTGTCAAGCCTGCTTCTCCAAACTCAGTTGTAAAAAGTTTTTCTCTCTCTACTGGAGGTGCCGATTTTTTTTGCTCAGAAGGCAGAGGATGTTTGCTGAGTGCGACAAAGCTGAGCGGATCAAGTTGATGCAGGTGGGTGCCAGGTCAGCTTTTTTTATACAAAGGCATTAGCCAGCCTGGTGGTTGATTGCCACCAGTCGGGTGGATTGTATAAAACGTGTTAGCAGTTTTTCCTAATTGCCCAAATCCTTTCCAAGTTACGCTCATCAAAAAATAGAGTTGAGAGTAGCGAACACATATGTCCGTATACACGTAGAATTTATGTACATTTCTGGAAGAGCTGACATGGTAAAAACAAAGCACAGGATGAGTGGAGAGCTGCTTATTGCTTGAGAGAGATCTTAGCAGAGTTGTGTTGCTTTTTTTATCTTTACCTCGTTTGCTTCAGGGATCATGACATGTAAATATTTAGCAAAGAACTGACCCCTGAAAGTTCTGCATGGTGTTAACACCCTTTTTTTTTTTTTTCAAGCACCATGTTTGACAGAGGGTAAGGAAGGAGTAATAGCTATATCTTCATCAGCCTTGCTCATCTTTTTCCTCCAGATTTAGCCTATAATTTCTACTCATTCTGTCATGCTTGATTAGTAATTTGGAAAAGTGGTGACTCTGAGAGGGCGCTACAGAGGTTAGTAGAGGGAGGAAGGGGAGGCATATTCCTGAAAGGCAATCCACATTTTTTCCTAGCTTCAGTATAACTGAATTTAATGCCTTTTGATTTAAAGATAAAACAAGTCAAACAAATGAAACCTGTGACAGTTAAAAGTTGAAGTGTTCAATGAATCTCCTCAGCCTAGGCCTTGCTCTTGATTCATGTTTTAAGACCTGAATCTTAAAATATCTTTACATCCTTTAGATTCACTAATCTAAATGCTGAAGTGTGTCCTAATTTCACTGCTGTGATGGGAAAATAATGAGACAACCAACAAAAATCCCCTTATATTGTGGGGAAATCTGACGGTGAATTCATGGTGGTACTTAAATGAAGTAGAGTTGTTTGGTTTGTGGTTCTGTTTTCTTGGTATGAATAAAAAGTATGCAGCTGTTATGTAACTGTATTTTATACCTCAGTTTCCTCTCTGGTCCCCTAAAACAAGAGCATGGAAGGAGAAAAACTTGCCAGGCCCTTTAGTGACCAGCAGTGACCTCCTGTGTACTCTCCTCTGTAGGAGGGTGGTAGATTTGGACTCTGGAGAGTTGATTGCTAATAGCCATTTTAAGGACATACCACAAATGTGGCACCATTTCGGCCTGCGTTACATTATTAAGGGTATAAACACATTAGAAGAGCTAATTGCTCCTTTGTTGGGCTAGAAATGATAGGAAAGGGTGTTGGCAATCAAGACGATGGTTATTCTTCTAAATTCGTAAGCACTTTGCTTTCATCTACGTCACCTCATCCCATCCTGTGAGGCAGAGAGTGGTGATAGAGGATAATTTTGGTTTTTAATAGATGGAAACACTGAAACATAAGGAAGTCAGCCTGGGCAACATAGTGAGACCTTGACTCCAGAAAAAATAAAAATAAAAATAATTAGCTGGGTATGGTGGCACATGCCTGTAGTCTCAACTTCTCAGGAGGTTGAGGTGGGAGGATCCCTTGAGCCTGGGAGGTCTAGGCTGAATGAGCCATGATCACACCATTGTACTCCAGCCTGGGTGACGGAGCAAGATACTGCCTCAAAGAAAAAAAAAAAAAAAAAAAAGAAATCTAAAGACTGCTTTAAATCACTTCTTTAGGGAGATAGGGAAGGAAATGTATCATTTATCAAGAGTTCATTGGCCAAAAAAAAGTTCATGGGCTGGGTGTGGTGGCTCGCATCTGTAATCCCAGCACTTTGGGAGGCTGAGAGGAGGGAGGTTTGCCTGAGGCCAAGAGTTCAAGACCAGCCTGGGCAACATAGCGAGACTCCCCCATCTCTACAAAAAAGAAAATACTACTAATAAAATTGGCCAGTGGGGTGGATTGGCTTGAGCGAAGCAGCTCCAGGCTGTAGTGAGCTATGATTGCACCACTGCACTCCAGCCTGGACAACAGGACAAGACTCTGTCTCTTAGGAAAAAAGAGTTCATGGTAGTCTTCACATACGTTTTTGTTTTTGGTTTGGTTTTGTTTTGAGACAGTTTTTTGCTCTGTTGCCCAGGCTGGAGTGCAGTGGTGTGATCTCGGCTCACTGCAACCTTTGCCTCCTGGGTTCAATTGCTTCTCCTGCCTCAGCCTCCCCAGTAGCTGGGATTACAGATGCCTGCTACCATGCCTGGCTAATTTTTGTATTTTTGGTAGAGATGAGGTTTCACCATGTTGGCCAGGCTGATCTCCCCCTCTTGACCTCAGGGGATCCCACCTACCCTGGCCTCCCGAAATGCTGGGATTACAGGTGTGAGCCACTGTGCCTGGCCCACAAAGGTTTTTAATTCTGACAAATGTCTTTAGGGTTGGGTATTAACAGCTCATTTTGCAGGTGGAAGTTGTAGTAGAGGTTTATAGTCTCTGCCTGAGGTCTTACAGCTGGTAAAAGTAGGGCTGAGATTCAAACTCGGCTCTGTCAGATTTGACAGTCTGCATTATTTCTGGCAATTTCACACTCTTTTAGCAGGAAGCAGAGCAACACGCCCAATAGTTGCGTAGTCTAGGCAAACTGTCTCCTTACCGCACCCTTCTGTCCTGGTGACGGACAGGGGACATGGGTCACACCCAACCAATAGATGTTGTCGGACCAGCATACAGTTTAAAACATTGAGTCAGTGTTGAAAATTGGGGAATTTCAAATATTCTGCCCTAACGATTCCCAAAGGGAGTGCTAGAGCAGCTGCCTCTTTAGGGAAGGGTGGTACCTTCTAGTCCCATCAACCCCCAGCAATCCCTAAAGTAGTCCCCAGCCCTGAGATTGCATGTCTTTTTTTTTTTTTTTTTTTTAAGGTAAGAGATCTTTCTCTGTGTCTCTACCCCAAATGGAATAACAGAAGATAGGTGGAGAGGCTCTTGTTGCAAGAAAAGTGGGAACATACTCCTTTGAGGAAATGAAAGGAGTAACAAGCCACATTGTCACTGTTTCCCACGCTGCCTATTTTTCTCACTTACCCGGAACATAAGAGTTGGCTACCCGCCGCAGTTTGACAGGGATGGAGTAGGTGTGGGCAGGCCTCAGGAGGGAAAAGGAGTGCCTCCAGAATCCCACGCCATTAGGTCTTTGTGAGTAGGCAGGTGGGGCTCGTGCACCTTGTGGGTTTTCCAGGGTATCCTGCAGGGATGGGGCACCAAGAAGCCCTTGAACCTCCCTCCTTTAAGCACCCTGACTCTGGGACCCGTGTGGATCCTGAGGTTATGCGTCAGCTTTCTGTAGCTGCTCTGAGCTGGACCCCAGCCACTCTGAGGGGTTCCTACGACTTGCAAAGGGTCCCTCTCCCCTGTCCTTCTCTGCCCACCACTCTCTGGCTGATGACAAGTTAACTCCTACACACTGCTGAGCACTCCTCCCCCCACGCGCTGCAGAAAGCTTTGCAGGGATGAGGAGCTGAGGTGCCTGCATAGTCCAGCCTTCAGGGGGTTTCTGTGATGCAATTCTCAGGGTGGCTTAGTTTCCTTGCCTTGAAACTTTCAGTTAAGGGTCATGGGACAGATGGTCTCGCCTCTGTCAATAG